CAGGCTAGCCAGAGTTCAACCACTTTCAAAAACTCCCATTATAATCACTGAAACTGTTTACACTGTGAAATGAATATATTCTATAATAATAGTTGAATATTTACCATGGTACACACACAAAAGCCTCATATCTACAGCCCTGGAATTGTTTCTGTTAGAGAGTATAGTTTAGTTAGAGCGTGTAAACGCTGAAGATCTTAATATACAGTATATATATATATATATATATATATATATATATAGAGATAGGATAGACGACTTCAGTCTAGCCAGAGTTCAACCACTTTCAAAAACTCCCATTATAATCACTGAAACTGTTTACACTGTGAAATGAATATATTCTATAATAATAGTTGAATATTTACCATGGTACACACACAAAAGCCTCATATCTACAGCCCTGGAATTGTTTCTGTTAGAGAGTATAGTTTAGTTAGAGCGTGTAAACGCTGAAGATCTTAATATACAGTATATATATATATATATATATATATATATATGTAGAGTTAGGTTAGAGGTTTCATTGTAAGTTAGTTTTGGGTTTTGTTATATACTGTATATTATATATTATTTATTTTCTTTGGCGCCGCTTGCGTTCCTTTTCCCTTGGGTTTATTTATTTATTTGTTTTGGGTTAATTTGAATTGTGTAAATATTAAATGTGTATATATATTTGTTTTTTTCATCTGATTCTTTATTATTGAACCTTTTACGTTTGTACAATAAATTCCACTGGTTTTGGCAGTATTTTATTGGACGTTTGGTTTCTTGCCACCATCACTTTTCCCAAATTGTTTACAAACTAAATGTTACCTCTTATTCCCTTAGACCTACAATCTAAAGTCGGAACACCTGTATCGACAGTTGTGCAAATTATGTAATGAGCTGCACAGTAAACATAAATTATGAAATATATTACATTCACAGATACATCTTTTTACATGCAAACAAATAAATACATAACATTCAGGTTCTTGCATTTCTTGCATTAAAATGATACACTCATAGACACAACAGAAAACAGTATGCATACAACGGAATACAAATAATTCAACAACATCTAAAAATATGTCATACACAGTTACTAATTGCAAACTGCCTTACGATTTGTTTATAATATATGCTAGTGCAGCACCTCTAAGTGGTCAAACATTAACATTGCAATAGTCATAGTCTACTGTTAGTCTGCTGTTGTGGTAAAATTGATTTGAAGATTGAGGTGAATAAAAATTTCCTTCATTTCTATATTTCATAATTACATGGACAGAAATGTCACTTTATCTTTGTTTTTTAAATGTATTTATAGATGTACAAAATTAAGATTTGTTCTAACAAATTTAATGCTAAATGTTTTTTCTTCTTTATTAATTTATGTTTCAGTAATGCAAACTTGAAACTTAGCAAAAATGCTGAAATTAAAATAAATTAATACAATATAATTTCCAAGAAGACTAAAACAGACTAAAGACGTTTAATATTTAATTAAAACTTAATATATACTAAAGTGCCATTCAAGAGTAGTTATATTTATGATATTAATGTATAGCACCAGTATCCAACAGATCTGACAGTGCAATGTTCCCTGGTGTCAATTTTTCAAAAATTTCACAATAGTAATGCATAAATAATAAGTAAATGTAGAGTATATAAGTGCACATTTAACACAGCTATAAAGCAAATGCAGCTACAAAAATAAAACTGCATGAAGCACATCATCTTCTAGCAGTTTTCTTCATTCCCAGACTTCTAGTGGCTTTTTGAACCTGGATGTTCCGGGTGGGATTCACTACACATTCTTTCTCCTTATAATGATCCAGAAGTCCTCTCCACAACACACTGCACCGCAGCAAGTTCTCATTACCTGCCAAAATAGCAGAATTAGGGCACTGTAATTCAAGCATCAAACATAAAACTTGATAATTATAAAATACATAAAGTAGACATATTAAAAGGAGGTTTTGTGTTATTATAATGGCATTTGACATATTAACCCTGACACTTAACATAAACTGTACACAAAAAAGTTTAAGATAAGTTATATTATTGTTTTGAAATTATTAGACACTTATAGGACCTAATAATACTCATAATGCTTAAGAGACAAAAATGTGATGTGTGCATTATTTAGCATTATTCAAAGAACTTGAAGGTTATCTAATCATTCACATATTACAGACTCCCACAATCCTAGACAGTGTAACTAACCAATGATGCACAGGCCTTCTTGTGCCCTGGTAATGCCCACGTTAACTTGGTGTGGGTCCTTGATGAATCCAAGTCGATTTATTATCAAGGATTTGGTTGGTTGTGTTTCTATGTCAGATTTGGGACAAGAGCGCACAGTTGACATGATGACATATTTCCATTCACTTCCTGTGGCCAAACAAACAAAAGAAAAAAGATCAGAAATAATCAATTCAGAAACAATAACTACATGCCATTGTCAAAACATGCAATCATAAACACAATTTATAAAGTATGAATACCTTGTATCTTTACTTTGTGCCTTAAAAACCATAAAAAAAAAAATAATAATTTGTTTTATTTATTTTTATGAAGAGAGCAAAATAATGGTTAATTTTAATGTTCCATCATGGGTCAATGGTCAGTATTAAATTTTTTAGTAATATTTAAACAAGGTCATGATTATTGATGTTCATTGTGACGCTGTTGTAAAACGGCATTTGTGAAAATGTTATTACCTTGACTTTTCATGATGGTGTTGACCGTGATGTCACTCATACCCTTAACAAACAGGGACTCCCTAATATTTGCCACTTGAGCATTGTATGGTGTGAGAATGGCAATGTCTTTTGTCTTTATCCTAGCCTCAGTCAAAAGAATGGCAATCAGCACCTGTTGATGACATTTTGAAATAAATTGATATATAATTCTATAATATATATTCTTAGGTGGCATTTTGAATTTAGAACAATAAATTATTTGTGGAAAAAATGGGCGGGGCTTCGACATTTAAATTATTTATTTTTATATATTTTATTTTCTGTACCTAAGACGTTTGACGCATCTTCATGTACTGTAGCTATGCATTTAAGAATATTTGTAATTAATATATAGTTTTAAATTAAAAAGTTTCTTTTATTATATCTGTAGTAGTTTGAAATTTGAATTTACCGCCAATTCTGACGAACAACGGCATCGACTGAGAAGCTGGAAGAAGAGCGTAAATCTAACGCTCTCGGCATCATTCGGAGTTATTAGGTAAGTAAGTTTATTAATATCAGTGTTTTGTGAAAATAACAAAATGTACACAGTATTTGACCATTATTTAGAAACGGCTGTCATGTTTTACATTTTATTTGGACGGATGTGTTTAAAGATGGACGAAGCCACCAGTTGTGCCAGGTTAAATATTCGTTTTTTTCTCCTTTGAGACCATATTTGAACCATTTTGTTAGTCGTAGTGGCCGTTTTAAATCTCAAGATGGCGCCAAGTAGCTATTCTAGCTCGCGTTGTTATGAAACTATAGATGGAGTCATATGACATCATGCCGCAGTAATTCATGTTTTCGAGCCTCTTGAAGTGTGTCTTTGTAGCTTTAAAAAAAAATTTTTTTTTAACTTTAAATTTGCTTTTAATTTCTATGAAATTGTATCCAAATAATTTCTAACAAACAAGAAACAAGAGAGTTGTAGTTAATGAGGCATACATACAGTTTTTTTTCTTCATCAGTGAATTGATCTC